TTGCGCGCGTGTGCGCGTGCACGAAGTGCCACGGATACCATGTTTTTCGGCCTCTGCTGCAATGCGTGCGCTTTCCCTGCGCGCGTTTACGCGGCGACGGAGCGTTGTTGTTGTAGCAGCAACGGCAGCAGCTTAGTCATAGTAGTAGCTGTTTTGTTGTTGAAGAAGCAGCAGCAGTAGGAGCAGCAAGAGCAATAGTCCTTGCCAGCATATGGTAACAGAACACATAGTAGCAGTAGCAGTAATAATACTAACACAATTTAAGTATAATGGTATGAGGGTGATATTATGCTGAAAAACTCTCCAATGACCTGGACGCTCTCTATGGAACTCACTGCCACGGCAAACGCAGGAAGTCATTATGATGCCTGCGCTTCACAATACAAAGCCCCTTGTGCTGACAAGCAACGTGCCTGTTGCAGATGAATACAGGGGCCTGAACTAGTAATTACCAATATCATGTGAGGTCTATTTGAGGTATGTAGCAAGATTATACAAGGATCCTAAAACGACAACATTGGAAATTACTTAAGCCCCTACAGCATTTCATCTGAGAGTCCCCTTGCCACCCCATCCCATGATGACGAGCAAAGAAAGCACGGCCTAAGAGGGATTTGATCTTCAAATGGCTTCGAGCAACTGCACCGCGTATAGGTTTTCAGAGACCGTGCTGTTTCGCTCCGAAAGAAGAGCTATCTCCTCCGGCCGAAAAAGGGCGGATGTCTTGCTGCGACCAAGGATCTCTTACAAGGGCTTATATTGATATTGAGACCGAGCCCAGGTAGATATCATACGTACCTGAACATATACCTTGGAAAGAGCTCCGATAGACCCCTTACAACCGCTTCTATCCCAAGGGCCCCTAAAGGTTCCACATTTTTTCAATCATCAACCAGATTTTTCATATGCATGGATGGCATATGAGCGGCCTATTAGAGGTGCAGAGGTCTTGTCGAGAAGCAGGGGCATGACTTCCAAAATGACATCTTTAGGGAAACCCTACTCTCTATAAACCACGATGTACTTCCCGTTTTCGTTTCATCCTGCATGTGCTTTGCCATTTGATTCTCCATTCTTGGGGTAGTGTCCCTAAACACCCTTAGATAGCCCTTGAAGGGACCCAGGGTGGGAATTTTGGGATAATGGAAAAGAAAATGGAAACTACTATAATGAGATTATATAGGTTTCAGGGTTTGGATAAGGGGTTATATTGGGTCCATTTCATTTTCCATGTTCTCCGTTTGAATAGACTCCCTTAGGCCCTTGGCTATGCTATAGCCATGATTTTGAGAAAACATCCATGGAGGTCTCATGGGGAGACTGCCAGAACAACCCTCCTGTCAGCTTAACCCAATACAACCCATTATCCAAACCCTAAACCCTATATATTCCCATCATGGTAGTTTCCATTACCTTTTCCATTGTCCGAATATTACCCCAATATAACCCCTTATTCAAACCCTGAACCCTATATAATCCCATTATAGTAGTTTCCATTTTCTTTTCCATTGTCCCAATATTACCCCAATATAACCCATTATCCAAACCCGAAACCCTAAACCCCAGGACCTCCATCATACGTCCATGGCATCCTGCGCGAACAGCAGGAGGCACCTGCGCAGTTGCATCCCGACGTCTCTCAAAAAAAAGGTGCCGTCAGGGATCTGTGGGGAGTGCGGTTCAGGGTTTAGGGTTCAGGGTGTAGAGTCTAGGGCTCAGAGTTTACTTAGGGTGAAAGAGTTTGGGTTTAGGCTGGGAATTTACAGGGAGTAGAAGGGTCCCCGTTTGAAGCTTACGCAGGCATTGCTTTGAGCAACTCTGCTGTAGAAAGTCCTAAAGACCAGAACAAACAAACCCTAAACCCTAAACAATGATGAGCTCGCAAGCGGGATTTCACAAGAATCACTCAAAAAGATCAAGGGTCTAGGGTTCAGGGTGACAAAGGGATCCAGAAAGGCTTTCTTCGCTCAATCCTCCAGCAGTTTGAGATTCGCCAACATGATTTGGGGGGGTGTCCCAAGATTATGGCTACTATGCAGGTGCTCGAACTTCAGGACTCTACTAGCGTACGAGTACATGAAGGGACCCTGAACCCTATATACTAATATAACACCTAATAACACCTAATAACACCTATATAAGCCGATATAAGTAACCTTCACAAAAACAAGTATGTAACCCCTGAGAACCCCCATACCGCTAAAAAGGCTAGCCTTGGATGCATCTCCATAGACGGACTGCTTCAAATCCTCACACGCGGTTTAGGGTTTAGGATTTAGGGTTTGGGGTTAAGGGCTTGGGTTTAGGGTTGGGGGTTTAGGGTTTAGGAGCTTCGTGCGATGCCGGGTTTCGGGCTTATACCCACCTCTGGTCCGCAAGGAATCAAGGAATGGATCCTTGCTGTCAAATAGTCCTTATATGATCCGCAATAACATCGAAAAAATCCAATATTCTTGCCCATTCCTCCATTCTTTGCTAACGTAAGCCCTGCATAAACCCCAGTTCAATTGTTTTTTCTATTTTATGTTTCACTTGATTCTTATTGAGGCAATATTCCCTACCCTGATCTACTGCGGCTCAAGTGGGGGTTACTGAAAAGTAGGGGTCGCTTTCAAAGGCTTGTGGGGTTATGTGGGGAGTGTATATAGGGTCTAGGGTTTCCTAACATTGCGGATCCCATTTTGGGTGTCGGCCTCGTACGCATTATTATATATGAGCATATATTTGTATATATGGTCACGCCC